AAAAAAAAAAAAAAACTTAAAAAAAATTGTACATATAGGGCTGGGCAGTTAGCTCAGTTGAGTAGAGCACAGTGTTACAACAGCAAGGTCAAGGGTTTGGATTCCCATACCGGCCAGCCGTCTAAAAAAAAAAAAAAAATGGAGCTTCTGAGTTGGTGAACACATTGAGGTGCTGTGAGCCTATTAAAGCCCCCTACACTTGCCCCCATACCTTGCCCTATCCGTCTCTTCCGAACCCTTGACCTTGGTGTTACCAAATGAGCTCTAACCAAATGAGCAACTGGCCAGCCCTCCATCTCTTCCATTTCGCTGTTCCTGAGTTGTCTCCTTTATAATAAACCTGTAAACTTAACTGGGAAAAGAGGCCATCATCCAATTCTGTTGACATATGTGGGTACTTGATGGAAACAAAGTTTGGGACTGCAGGGTTAGCTCAGTTGGTTAGAGCACGGTGTTATAACACCAAGGTCAAGGGTTTGCATCCCCATACTGGCCAGTTACTAAAAAAAAAAAAAAAAATGTGGCAGAAGGGAGACTGTGCTATTTATTAGGCCTTAATAGATAAAAATATTGGGCCGGCCCGTGGCTCACTCGGTAGAGTGCGGTGCTGATAACACCAAGGCCACAGGTTCGGATCCCATATAGGGATGGCCGGTTTGCTCACTGGCTGAGCATGGTGCTGACAACACCAAGCCAAGGGTTGAGATCCCCTTACCGGTCATCTTTTAAAAAAAAAAAAAAAAGATAAAAATATTAACAAACCTTTTAGTTAGACTAAGAAAAAAAGACTCAAATTACTAGAATCAAAAATGAAAAAAGTCAGCCGGCCCGGTGGCGCACTGGAGAGTGCACCACTTGGGAGCGCAGAGGTGCTCCCGCCGAGGGTTCGGATCCCATGTGGAGACCGGTTCCCGCGGAGCGCAGAGGTGCTCCCGCCGAGGGTTCGGATCCCATGTGGAGACCGGTTCCCACTCACTGGCTGAGCGCGGTGCGGGCGCAACACCGAGGGTTGCAATCCCATTACCGGTCAGTAAAAAAGACAAAAAGAAAAAAAAAAAGAAAAAAGTCACATTATGGAAATAAAAAGGCTTGTGATAGAATACTATGAACAATTGTATGCCAATAAATAACTTAGATAAAGCAAACAAATTCCTAGAAAGACAAACTTCTGAAACTTACTCAAAAAGAGAGAACATCTGAGTAGATCTATAACAAATAAAGAGATTGAATTAATTATCTAAAACTATCCAGAAGGAAAAGCCCAGGCCCAGATAGCTACACAGATGAATTTTGCCAAATGTTTAAAGAAATATTAACACAAAGTTTTCACAAACTCTCCCAAAATTTAGAAGAGAGAACACTTTCCAATTCATTCTATGAGGCCAATATTACCCTAATACCAAAATTAGACAAAGACATCACAAGAAAAAGAAACTACGGACCAATATCTCTTATGAATATGAATGCAAAACTCCTCAACAAACACTAGCAAATAGAATTCAGCAACATACAAAAAGAATTGTACATCATAACCAGGGGGATTTATTCCAGGAATAGGACGTTTATTTAACATCTGAAAATCAGTAAATGTAACACACTATATCAATAGAATTTTTTAAAGCTTCACGATCATCTCAATAGATGCAGAAAAAGCATTTGACAAAACCTAACACCCTTTCCTGATAAAAACACTCAACAAAGTAGGAACAGAAGGGGACTTTCTCAACCTGATAAAGGGCATCTACAAAAAAGCCCATAGTTCACACTATACTTAATAGTGAAGAACTGAATGCTTCCCCACTTAGTAAGATCAGGAAGAAGACAAAGATGTCCACTTTCAACATTTCTATTCAACATTGTACTAGAGGCTCTAGCAAGGACAATTAAGCCAGAAAATGACATAAAATGTATCTAGATTGGAAAAGAAGTAAAACTATGTCTATTCAGAGATGACATGATTATGTATATAGAAAATCCTAACAATCCAGTAAAACACTTTTAGAATAATTGAGTTCAGCAAGATTTCAGGATATAAGACCAATATACAAAAATCAATTTATTTCTTTTTTTTTTTTGTCTTTTTTCGTGTCCGGCAACGGATCGCAACCCTCAGTGTCGCGCCCGTACCGGACCAGGACTGGCAACGGGATCGCAACCCTCGGTGTTGTGCCCGCACCTCACTCAGCCAGTGAGCGGGAACCGGTCTGTATGTGGGATCCAAACCCTCAGCGGGAGCGCCGCCGCACTCCCAAGTGGCGCACTGTAGCAGTGCGCCACCGGGCCGGCCCCAAAATCAATTTATTTCTATACACTAGCAATGAAAAGTCTGAAAATTAAATTAGGAAAACAATTCAATTTACATTAACATAAAAAAATACATACCAGGACATCACCAAGATGGTGGAACAGATAGTCTGTCCCCAGCATCACTCTCCTCCACAATTGACCAATTTACAACTATTAAAAAACAAAGACTGCCAATCTAGGGTTGCTAGAGCTCAGGGAAGGGGAGGAGAGACCCATGCAGTTTGTGAAGGCAGGAGCAGCCAGAGCAAGAGGAAGAAGAAAATGCTCTGCCCGTTTCAAGCCCCAGCTGCTTCAGGGCCAGCCCTGTAAGTGGCGGAAAGAAGCTGCAGCACACAAAAGCCACAGTTGAGCCCTTTGTGTAAAGTTGCCTGAAGTCTGCAGAGGAAAAGAGGGCCTCAGAGTGCACCATACCAGCCTCCAGACCAGGGAGACCACTGACATGGCTCCCGTGAACCCCCATATGAGCAAGGGCCCCAGCTGACCAAAGAAAGGAGCCACCCAGAGACTGGTGAGTCATTGAGAGGGACCCACAAATGACCCACCCCATGGGAAGCATTTGGAGTGCAGGAAGGAGGCTGGCCCACAGATAGAACAATGAAGTGCAGCGTGGGCAGCTGATCTGCCTTCTGATCAGCACAGGCCCACTTAATGGAGACTACTCAGAGCAAGAGAGCTGCAGAGGGAATAGGTTGCTAGTAAGACTCAGCCCCAGGCCAGAAATTCCATACAGCCCAGGTGTATTTGACCTCAGAAGACCCAGAAGTAATTAAAAGGCCAACAATTAAAATTGGATATGCACAAAAGGTGTTCCTCAGAGAATCAGCACCAAAAAAGCAATTTAGCTCAACCACAGATACAAGTGCCGGTCCCCACAGGAAGTTCCCCAGTTTTGGATATAGCCAAAACCACAGACCAGAGATAAAGCTCTGATATTAACCAATAAATGTCTAACACCACCAAAGAGCACCTATAAAACCTAGAAGAGGTAGCAATCTCCTCAAATGCCCCGGCATCAATGTAAAGACACAAACATTGACAAAGGACAGAGAAATATGACACCAACAAATAAGTGAAGAACCAGCAACAGACCCAGAGGAATAGGAGATTTATGAAATGTCTGATAGAGAATCAGAATAACACTCTTAAGGATGTTTAGGAGGTCATAAGAAAATAGACATACATAATTCAATGATATCTGTAAAACAATCCAGAAGCAGAATGAGAAACTTGAAAAATGAATTAAATCAATTTTAATAACCAAATAGAAATTCTGGAAATAAAACATTATCTGAGCTGAAA